AGTAAAAATTTAAATAAATTAAGTTTAATATTTTTATAAAAATATAAATTTGAGTTGAGTTGAGTAAAAACTAATTAAGTTTCATATTTTTATAAGATATAATAATTTATAAAAATATAAATTTATATATTTTTATTATATACAAATTGTCGCAGGACTCATATAGTGGAGCAAATTCCTCGAGAAAAAGATTGCCTCTATCCCTGTCATGTGAAAAAAAAAAAAAAAAACATTTTTCAAATCTCTATCTCCACAACTGAAAATCGCCGAGAAGTTTCACAAGTTTTGTAGCAAATTATCATCCCTACTTTGTTGATATGCTCATTTCTAAGTGAAACACTGCCCATTGTGGCCCATTTTGAACAAACCCATTTTAACTCGACCCATTGTAACCCTTAAACTACCGTGATTTTATCATCCGACAGGTCTAGAAACACTGCTCATTGGGACCCATTTAAGACAAACCCATTTTAACTAGGCCCATTGTACATAATCATGGTCCAAAAGTGGAATTTGCTTATGACTTGTTTGGTTGAAAGAAAAATTTTATTTCGTCAAATCCAAAAAATCCGTAGGTAATGTCAAGAAGAATATAACATAGAATGGACTTTCACTGCTTAATTGGGAGATAAATCAAATAATGAAGTTGAAATATTGAAAATTTTCTCTGTAATGATTATTAATGATGAAATCTAGAAGAAAGGTGAATGGAACACCAAAACAAATTTAGTTGCTGGGATTCTAGAGAGAAAGGTTAAATAAAATAGAGATGACTGCATTATTCATAAGTATAGATGTCAAATCCTAGGTAGTCTTTAGAATTTGGTAGAGGGATACATCATCCCCAGCTGTGGGTTCCCAACAGATGCAAATTTGTTAAGGTCCTGTAGTTGTCTGATATTTTATTAATTTATAATTTTTTTAGTAATTAATTATGTTATTTAAAAATATTTATTTATAAATTAATTTTAATATATTCAATAATAAATATTAATTTTTATTATATATAAATTATTTGTATGAAAAAGTATTCATCCATCTTATTTCTTAAAAATTAAAAAGAAAATCCTTTTGAAACTCTATTATTTTAATAAATTATTATTGAAAAAACTAAAATACTTTATTTTTAAAGTATGAATTAAATTGTTTTTGACATTTTCTTATAGTATTTTATTAAAATAATATAATTTTAAAATAATTTTTTTCTTAATTTTTTAAAAATAAGTTAAATAAACACTAATCCCTTTTAATAGTCAAATTATAATAAAAATTTAACAATTTATATGATCATAATAAATTTTACTTATAACCATAATTACAGCTATCACCCATATATATTTTTTATCTTAATTTACATAATAAAAGAATATCTTTTTTCATTCTTTAAATTACTTTAACAATATATAATATGACTTAAATTTAATATCTTTTATTTAAAAAAAATTACTAATAAACTACTTTATAGTTGACAACCATATCTTCTCTTTCTACAAGTGAAATATGAAATTTTTTTTGCACAGAAGTAGTCACAAATAAAAAGTTCACCCGAAAGCATATATGTGTACCAAAACCCAATTTTAAGAAGTCATACCCTCCAGCCCGAAGCACTCTGCATATTAATTCCTTTCTCCTAGTCCCATTCATAGTACGGATTTCTTCCTTTTTTTCCCTCAGCAAAAAGTAAGCTAAATGGAGAGAAGAAGAAACCATACAGCACAAAAAACACCAAAGATAGTCTTGTTAGTGACTACTATTGCCCTACTTCTTCTCACAATCATCCCCATATGTTACCCTTTCCTAGGGTACCCATTATATTTTTTGAAGAATTATTATACCAAATCATCTCCCTCACCATCACCATCATCATTATCGGTCTCTTCTGTACATGACATGCCTAGACAAGAAGAATCTGTAGTGAGCCTCGCCGATGATGATGATGAGAAGTACTGTGACATATTTTCAGGGGAATGGGTGCCGAACCCGGAGGCGCCGTATTACACAAACTTGACATGCTGGGCGATCCATGAGCACCAGAACTGCATGAAGTATGGAAGACCGGATACCGAGTTCATGAAATGGAGGTGGAAACCGGAGGGGTGTGAGCTCCCGGTGTTCAACCCTGCTCAGTTCCTGGAAATCCTCAGGGGGAAGTCTTTGGCCTTTGTAGGGGACTCCGTTGGAAGAAATCAAATGCAGTCATTGATTTGTCTCCTTTCCAGGGTACGCCATCATCTCTTGCGCTATTCTACTTAATTATTATACGCATGCGTTCATTATTTTTATTAGGTCACATTTCATATCCTCATATCTGATTAATTCTTCTTTTCAATTAATTAATTACTTAATTACTCCTGAAAACATTTTTTTTTTTGACATCTTCGGGATGGTAATTGGAGCTGACACCTCTCAAGATTTTAGCTAATTAAACTTCTTTAATTACTAAACTAATGCAACTCAAATCAAACCTCTTTTAATCTGTTCTACTCTTTATGACTTGTATAATAATTCAAATTTAAAATTTTCTACTTTTAGAAAAAAGATTATGAATATGTGATTCATCATTAGGTAACTGTTTTTGGCTTGGTAATTAGACAAGTTAACTTCATTATAGTTACTTTCCTTACATCTTGACAAAAAGCAAGCTATGCAACCCTTATTCATTATTACAGAACATGTGTTTGTTGATGAGAACTTGCATGTCTTAGCTGGAATTCCAACTCTAGAAGACTACACTGAAGATTGGGAAGGATGTTAGTTAATTTCTCTTTCATACTTTAGATTATATTAACTATAAGTGCAACTTTTTTGGTCAGGTTCTTTTCAGGCAGCCCAATTTTCAAACTCTCCTCCAATTGTATTGATTAACAGCAGGGGGTTAGTTGACCTAAGCCATCACGTAAATCAAAGGATTAGGTTAAATAATTTGGACTGGCCTGCACCATGTAGGAATCTTTATTTTGTTAAATAAAAAGGAATTTTAAAACTTGGTTGAAGGGGTAATAGCTACAGTAACATAGATATACAGATGAATTAGAACAAAAAATATTGAATTGAGAATTTTTAAGAGATAGTTCTTAAACTTAAAAAATAATCTTTGTTTTTCAGTAAAATACTGTTCACTAAGTTCATTGAATAAAAAATTAATGTAATAATGTAAAAGCCTTGTTTAATTGATAGACTTAAAGCATAGGGAGTTTGTTAACCGATCTAGGTATGACATTATTTTTTTAAAGTTCTATCTATGTAAGAAATTCAAAGTTCTTTGACAAGGTCAAATTTCAGTCTGAAAAGTTCACCAATTTTATACTAGAACAGTTATGTGGTGACAATGATTAATTGTTGTCTACACTTCATTTTTTAACCATTCGGTAGAGATGGTAAATGATTGTCCCAAAATAGTGGCTCACCATCTTACATAAGGTGGATTTTACCCGTTACACTTTCTGAAAATTGGTGGGTAGATTTGGTAGATGATATGATCTATATTGGTATTATTAGAGATATAGTAAAAAATAAATAGACAAAACCACATTTTTCTAGTTAGTCATTAAGAATCTAATTAATCATTAAGATTCTAAAGATATTTATTATCTTGTTCTACATACACATCATATAAAGCATGGACCGTAGTGGCGTTAGTGGTCATTGGTCAAGATATAATTAATCCGGTTCACCAAAATAATTGAAATAATTTATTATCTTGTTCTACATACACATCACATAATGCATGGACTGTAGTGGCCTTAGTGGTCACTGGTCAAGATATTATTCCGGTTCACCAAAATAATTGAAAACATTAATTGAGAAATAATTTAGTTGATTAGCAGCTGTGATTATGCCACCATGCATGTCTTTTGACATCATAACTACTTAGAATAAAACACTTGGGAAATGACAAATTATATAATTTGTAATCTTTTTATTCTAATGCACTAATAATTAATTTTTTGATAAATTAAGTGAATTGATGCAACCTCTAAACTAATTAAAGTTATGTGATGACAAAGTTCAGGATGACCAGTTTCTGCAATTGTGGGCTCTTTCCATCATAACATACATAAGATCCTCTTCTGGACAGTTGTCCTTATATATGTCCAGGGTCCAGCAGCTGGCTACTGGCTAACCACCATATCGCCTGCTCTTTTTCTTTTTAATCTTTAATTAGTAGGTGTTTCTTAAATAGAAACCATATTTTATAATACAAATTATATCAAACCGTAAAACAAAAATTATTAAATAAAAAAAGATTTTGATATTAAAAAGTTCAATTTTCATTTAATAGTTAATGTTATATAATTTAATATAGTTTAAATTATAAAACACTCTTTTCTTTTTATATTTTAGTTTGAGCTGTAAAATAAAAGTGCACTTTAAGCACCAAAATTACTAAGGTTTATTAAAAGTACTTCAATAATTTCATGTTCTGGACTCTATCTTTTTGTGCAGTGGTTCTGACTGGAAAATAAATTTTTGAATTAGTAATCTCTTAGAAGAAATAGATAGTTAGGCCACTATCATTGAGCCACCGAAATCCTTGGACTCGAAATTGATGTTCTTGAATCCTCACAGGTGGAGTATCCAATAGATGTTTCACCAACACCGGACGAGCATTTCAAGAGGTGGAATTACACATCCTACAACTTCACTCTCGCCTTCTTTTGGACACCACACTTAGTCCGGAGCACCGAAGCTAACTCCAGAGGCCCCAGCAACACCGGTCTCTTCAACCTCTACCTGGACGAGTTTGATCAAAACTGGACCACCCAAGTCGAAGAATTCGACTACCTGATCATCTCCGCCGGCCACTGGTTCTTCCGGCCCTTAGTCTACTACGAGAGCCACCACATCGTTGGGTGCCACTTCTGTCTCCTCGACAATGTTACTGACCTCACAATTTATTATGGCTATAGGAAGGCATTTCGGTAAAAAAATTTTATGTTTGTTCTCAGTAAAATTTATATTTTCATAATTGTGCCTTCACTTAATAAAAATTCTAAACTCATCCATACTTATTTCAGGACTGCTTTTAAGGCGATAAATGAAATAAAAAATTTCAAGGGCATAACGTTCCTCAGAACATTTTCCCCGTCCCACTTCGAGAACGGGTTGTGGAACGATGGAGGGAATTGTCTTAGAACGGCGCCGTTTAAGAGCAACGAGACAACCCTGGAAGGTGCCAATATGGAGCTGTACATGATCCAGCTGGAGGAGTTTAGGGCAGCTGAAAGGGAAGGGAAGAAGAATGGGAGGAAGTTCAGGGTGCTAGATACGACGCAGGCGTCACTGCTGCGGCCAGACGGCCACCCTAGCACGTATGGCCACTGGCCACATGAAAAAGTGACATTGTATAATGACTGTGTACATTGGTGCTTGCCGGGGCCTGTTGATACTTGGAATGATTTCTTGCTGGAGATGTTGAAGATGGAAGGAGTGAGGTCGAAACAGGAGAAGTTGTATTCAAGTGACAGGAAAATGAAGTTTAGATAGAGAGATATGTATTTTCTTCTTTGTTGTACCATAATGTGGTAGTATTTCGTTCTCCAATATGACAAATGTGCTCTAAATGCATGAATTGTGTTGAGAATAAATGATTCGAGATTTCAAGAAGTTTCTTTCTTACACAAGTTGAATAACGTTCTACCTCTTCTTAACCTTTCTTTTCCATGAATGCAAATCGAGTCAAAATCAATAATTCATTTGATAAAGACAAACTTAAATGAGAAATGACACGTCAAACAATATTATACTTATAATACTACATAAAATTATAAGTTTGTAATATCATGGGTAGATTTATAAGTAAAAAGAGTCAATTATATAATATTATATCATAATGATAAATTTATAATATCAGATATTTTTTTGATACCTTTTATGATAAACTAATAATAAAAAAATAGCTTTCCTTACCTAATTCAAGATTTGAATCCGATATCTTTAAATTAAAATTTTAATCTCTTAACCGTTTGAATTATTCTTTAAGAATCTTACAATAACAAGTGACATTCTAATTATTACCATTTCTATAATATGATACAAAGGACTGCTTCAGATAGATCTTTTGTTTCTAAAATCAGCACACCGACAGATAACTAAGGAAATAAACAAACAATGTAACATTCATAAATAATGAACAATTTCCATGCTTCACAAAACAAGCCTATGAAGCAGGACAACTTCATCTTCAGATTGCTTCAGTTGACCAACCTTGATTAAAGAATTCAGTAGGTTGATGGTCTAATCTTGGAAACTTCGATGATGTGATTTGCACATTATGGCCAAAATATAGAGTTGATGTGTTTTTCATTGGCTCATGAAAACAGTGCTCTGGAAATAGTATCCCTGGGTTTGATTCTGGAGACAGGAAGGCTGCATCTTGGTTTTGATTCTTACATTTGACCTACAAAAATTGAAGGAATACAAAATCAACACGCTAACCAATAGGACAATATGAGAGTTCCACTACACCAAGAGCAGCATCCATGCATATTATTAAATCCAAAGTTAGAAGCCATTAAAATACAGCTCTGTTGCAGCTAAAAATTGCGGTCAAAATTAAGACTATTTTTTTCCCCTACCAAACTACTCATATCATTTCAGTGGTCCATTTTGGAATATATCGTGTTTTTTCTTTCATACATCACATAATCTCCAATTATTCATTAAACTAATACATATATCCTAGCAGCCTTTCTTTAGTCTTTGATTGTCGGTGGTTTCTTTAATGCATTCAAGAGGCCATGAGAGGGTGAGAATTTGAATCTTGAATTTTTTATTTTCCCAAAAGGGGTGTTGTTGCTTGTTTTATAGTTGATGATTAATTTAAACTTTTAAGTGAACAGTTTTTAATATGGTATCAGAAGTTTTTAACTTAACTAATTTAGATTCGAGTATCTTATCCTTCTTACCAAATGTCAAGTGTACGTATGCTTAATTAATCTAGAAGAATCAAAGTCTCTATTGGTGTGGAGTTAGAATGGAGCATGAGAAACCTCAATGACCTTCCATCAGTCTATGTCTTCGCTCCTAAGCCAAGGCAGTTTTAATATCATCATCATTGGACTTTCAGCCAAGACACGTAAAGTCCAGCTTATAATTTTTGACTCTAAACCCATTTGTGAGCCTCATGATTGAAGAATCAACTCAAAATTGAAATTCATCCTCACAGCCCAGTGGATACAATGAGTGAAAAAGCACAAGAAATTGCACTCCTTGGTAGCCTAGCCAACACATGTTCAAAAACTTGTTGTCTGGGACCTCTCCCTTTCATAATGTGTATTCTTTTCTTGTGTTTCTTATCTACAAGCAATTCCAAGGATGAACCCTGGTTTAAGCAAGAGACATGACCCAAACCATTCCATTTTATGTTGGTTTTTGATGTACTTTTCAACCTGTTGATATTCAGTCTAAAAGAAAATCAAGCCTCTATTTACTCTCAAAAAATTAACAAAAAAAAGGTGTAACAGGCATTGTTTTGTTTTTTTTTTTTTTTTTTTTTTTCTTCAATACCATAAGAACATGTCCTGTTTGAAAAAACAGGTTGTTAATGGTTTAAAATGTAATATATTATTGAACATTATGGCAATAGCAGTCCTGGATTTGTCTAATATGCAGAAAGGAATTAAGCTTCAGCATCAAATTTGTTTGGTTTTTTTTTTAATTAAATTGAATCTAACAGAATATATTGCACTTCTGGAACAGCTTAGGGCCATTTTTAATTATCTAAATTTTGGTGTATCACTAAATAAAAGTATTTATTATTATCATGTCTCATTTGGTTGGTCTCCTCCTAACCTTTACCTCAAAGAGCTGTTTCAAACTCATACTAACCTTGTATGACACATTTCATTTAACTTAAACATTGTTATGTTTTGTTCATATAATAAATTTGAGTCAATTGCTGAAGCATCTAGCTTCAGGGTTTCCCACAATGAAGTTCCATGCCATTGAGTTTCCACCCAATGGCAAGAACACTTCACAAAACAGTTTCAAAAGGCTGTTCCTAACACTTACGTTGATCTTCTTTACCTCAATTCCTCTGTATCTGATCAGGAAATCGCAGTCGCCTTTGCCACCTCAGGAGATTGATATCAGCAGCCTGAGAAAAAACAGAGAGGTGCTCAAGAAATGTGATATCTTCAAAGGGAAATGGGTGCCTCATCCAGAAGGTCCATATTACACAAATGAAACTTGCCCTCTGATTATTGATCAGCATAACTGCATGAAATTTGGGAGGCCTGATACAGAGTTCATGAGGTGGAGGTGGAAGCCGGATGAATGTGAGCTACCTTACTTTGACGCAGTCCAGTTCTTGGAGCTTGTCAGGGGGAAATCCATGGCCTTTCTTGGGGACTCTGTAGGAAAGAACCAAATGCATTCATTGCTCTGTCTCTTATCCAGCGTAAGAAACTCAATCATTTTCACAAACATCTTCTCAACATTATTGATTCATCAAAAATGCAAGGAATATGACATTGATTATGTTTTCATTGCAGGTGGCTTCTCCAGAAGATGTTTCCAGTAAATATTCATCAGATACAACTTATTTCACCCACTGGTTCTACGCAGACTACAACTTCACGCTAGCATCATTATGGTCACCATTCTTGGTCACATCCAGAGATGCAGATCTGAACGGGTATTCCTATGACAGCTACATGAGCCTCTACATAGATGAAGCTGATAAAGGATGGACAGGGGAGATTGAAGGTTATGATTATGTGATCATTTCAGCAGGGCATTGGTTCTTCCGGCCACTGTACTTACATGAAAAGGGTCAGCTTGTTGGATGTCACAAATGCTCTGTAAAGAACATCACAAGCCTTAGCGTGTACCATGGATACAGGATGGCTTTCAGAACAGCCTTCAGGACCCTCTTGAGTCTTAAACGCTACAAGGGTGTTACATTTTTAAGGACATTTTCACCGGCACACTTTGAGAATGCAGATTGGGATAAGGGAGGGAACTGTTTGAGGACAAAGCCATTTACAAACCAAGAAAGGAAGTCGGACGACTATATCTGGGAGTTCTACTTGACACAGGTGGAGGAAGTAAGAGCAGCAGAGGATGAAGGGAGGAAAAGGGGCTTGCAGTTTGTGCTGCTAAATACTACTGAAATAATGTGGCTGAGGCCAGATGGTCATCCAAGCCAATTTGGTCACTCACGTCACAGAAATGAAACAGTAAACGACTGTGTTCATTGGTGCTTGCCAGGCCCCATTGATACATGGAATGAGCTCTTGCTGTATATGATGAAGATGGGAGTTCTGAAAGGGAGGGAAAGGAAGTTGATGAAAAATTACATTTGAATTCTGTTCATTTATGGCAAAAAATATTCTGTTTATTTAATTCTTTTTGCTATAAAGAGACATATTTGAGCCTCTGTGGGGGGAAATATATTTGTGAATGATTCATTAAAAAAAAGTTAGAATATATATATATATATATATAGTTGAATCAATGTACTTGGATCTACTGGATAAGAAATTAGTTTTATTATGTTCTTCCAACCGAGGGACCTGGACGGGGAAGATTAAGATTAAAGTTGATTTAGCTGAGAAATGGCTGTAAGAAGAAAGAAAGTATCAAATTACAAATTGGTTAGCGTTTCTTGATTTCAACTGCAACATCAACAAACTAGAGTTTGGGGTATCTTTTCCATATCCTTCCGCACTCCGTTCTGAGATTGAAATTAAAGACCTCCAAGAAAAAGGCACAAACTCTTTAACTGCTAAAAATTTGGCAAAGACAAAATGGACATGGCAATACCTAACTCCTTGACCATTTAATGCATATGCCTTACTTAGCCATCTTCATTTCTGTATGGTTGAGGTCGCACATGTAGAATGAAACTCGATGGGATTATAAATAAAGAAGTTCAGCTGTTGGATCAACTTTGAAGAAAGATACAACAAATAATCATTCATGGTATGATATATACATACAACTTTTAATGTTATAATTGACTGCCATATTACAATTGCAACGTGTTTCAGTATGCAACCAACAGTGTGATGTGAGATTCAGGGTATTCAGGATATTTTCTTTAAAATGAGATCTTGATGAAGACCAAGATGTGTAGAATGAAAATGTAGAGCACAAAAGCAGACCTGAGTAGCATAAGCCTCTGTTGATTCTCATTTCGGCCAACAGTGCAATAAGGAAGCTTGTCATGAGCATCAATAGAATAATCAGAAACAGATACTTTTTCAGTATTGCCTCTTCCAACTCGATTCAACCGATTCCTGGCAGTAGTTGCCTCAGCATTGCTACCATCAACCTTCCCCCACAATGCATTCAATCTCTCTAGTTCCCTCTCTTTCAAATGAATTTCACTGACAAGGCCTTCGGCTTGTGCCTACAAAAGCAACAAGAAGCAAACATTTAATATGTATCTTCTTAAAATAATATTGGAAGAAGCTTGACCATCAACAGGAATATTTAGAATATTTCTTCCTACAACAATCCATTAAAGATAAAAATTAAATGTCTTCTCACTATAAAATGTAATATAAGGGTCAATAACTGATGGAGCAACAGAATCACGATAGAGTTTAAAATTATACTACCAGAATAGATTTACCTGTTTTGCTGCTAGTTGCTCAATTAGGCTGTGAAGCTGCTTATCCAATGCCTTCTCTCTTTGAACTGTGCAACAGAACTTGATTAAATCTCAATAGAATGAAAGTGTATGTCATGTTACTATTTTTGTTTATCCACTGCCTTAATGTTAATAACAAGAAACAAATTCAAACAAAATTTTCATAACAATATGAAACAAGCACTGCACAAGAAGAGAAGAGACAAATCAGAAGAGAAGAATTTGACGTCCTATAGGAAGAAGAGATATTGAAGGAATACCGCAACATAACCAGTCAGAAAATTACCAATTAACTATTGTTAATTCATGATAAATTGTCAGATTGTGACCTAATCAAACACAGTAAATGCACCATATGATGTCAAATACCTGGAGAAGGAAGCTTCAAAGCTTTGTCCTGAATTTTTGCCCATTTTTCCTCTAAATCTCGGACAGTCTCTTCCATTAGACTCTGAAAATTTGAGCAACTTTTTCTTCAGCAAAAAGCAATATAAACAATGACTAGACCAAAATAACAACAGAAAAATGGAAAGAAATAATAACAATAAAGTGTAAGTGTAAGGTCAAAGTAAAGATGAAATGGACCAATTCGTTTTTCTTGTCCTCTAATTTGTCTAGCATAGCAGATTTTGCCACATCTGTTTCTTCTCCATCTTCATTTTTCACTGTGGACTCAACCAAAGATTCACCAGACCTTTGAGTCTGACCAGCATCCAATGCAGCCTGGCTTTCTTCCAATTCAGCACTAAGACTTTTCTCAATCTCATACATTTCCTATAAAGATTTGATCATTGGAGTAAGCATTTAAAAAGATGCCAATAATTTCTAAGAAGTCATATGGAAAGAAATGATTCTCACTTCTACCATCAAACAACATGTAAGCTGGTAAATAAAATCCAAGTTCTGGAAAACAGGAAAATAATCAGATGTATAGCATACTACTTAGCATGGTAGCCATCTTGGCCCTAACCTTCAACTTTGCCTGAAGTGAATCTGCTTCATGCATTTTTTCCTGTATTTTGTTCTCACAATTCGATATAGCCCTTTCATATGCAGCATTCTCTTGTTGCAATGTCTCCTCTCTCAACTGGGCCTGGTCATAAGAATCAGTGGCAACTATTCAGAGGGGGAAACAGGAGTTATCATTCATGGCCATAAATTTACTAAGGAACAAAGAATAAAAGAAAGCATCTATTTTTCCAAAGTTCTAATTTGTATCAAGCCATTATCCATAAAGATCTTCCAATCACGCTTGGTATTAGATAAAATTCAAATGTTCCAATCAAATGTAAGTCTTCTATATCAGATGTTTGCAGCGAGGAAATTCACTTTTCTTGATGGGGATCAACTGGATTTATTAAGGAGACATAACTGCATCATAGAATTCATGCTTCATAGTCCATAATACAAAACAAAATTGAAACACCCAAGTAAGGAAAGGAGCTAAATTAAGAAGGAAAGGCTGCCTCAATGTATATAAACAACCGTACAAAGAATTCCAATTATACAAGAAAGCACCCAGATAAGAGAGAGCAGAAATTAGAAGGGGATGAAAGACCTGCTCGCGGGTAGTAGAGTGAGCATTAAGCTGTAGAGCGAGGGCAGCATTGGAGGCGAGGGAGTGGGCATGGAGGTGAGGGAGACGCTGGGAGATGTCAGAAGGAGGCAGCCTGAGGCGTAGATCTTGGATCAGACGGGTGAGAGAGGCCGCCTTCTGGTCCAGCTCTTGAGCATACTTTTGCTGCTCTGGGGTGAACACGATCGGGATTCTCCGGTCATCTTCGTCCTCGTTACTCTCATTACCACCATGAGCTCCGACGACATCCGCCGCCCATGCTAACAGACCGGCCATCTCTCTCTCACCGGGTGCAGGTGACGATCTGCCATGTAGGAGAGATGAAGCAGAGTTTAGGCGAGGTGCTAGTAGGCCTGACCCAATTCCGCCCAACAGAAGCTGGGCTGACAGCATGCCAATGGGCAATGATCTTTTCGGCCTTTCCCTGCCCAAGATAAGAGAAAGCCTATGTGGAGTTTGGACTTTTTTTTAGTTTTTTTTTTTTAATCTTTCGGCCCAAAAGCAGTTTTTTTTTTTTTTTTTCATTTTTTGATGTTATTATTATATACTTTTATATGTGGAGTACTGGAGTCTGGACATTATTTTCTAAGAGAAGAAAAGGAAAAATATAAGATAATTTCAGAAATAAAAATAATTCAATTTTGTTTTTGAAGAGGCTTTTTTTTCCCAATTGAATAGGTCGTGTTTAGTATTAGGGTTTGATATCAGTTTTCAATATGCGACTGATATGGTCTGTTTTATCTTCTCATTTACTTTGATGATAAGGAATCAAGTGACAAATAAATTTTACTAGTTAGTCAATTGCCAAACATTGTTGTGGAAACCCAAGACATTCAATTTTATAAGATGTTTTAAAGGATAAAAACTTTAAACTCCTCCAAAGATGAGATTTTAATTTTCAATATTAATAAAAAAATTTGATAAAGGATAGAGGTGTTGTGTTGTTTATCAGATCCTTAAAAAAAAGTAAAACAAAAACTTCAAATACAATCAAAAAAACTTAAACAAGTTAATAATAGCCATTAATTCAATTATTCATCTCCACTTACTAAAGAATTGAAACTCATTACCCTATTTTACAAATTATTCTAACCTAGTCTGGCCTCAACTATTTTTTTTCCAGCATAGATGAGTAACCTCAACTTTGCTTTCAAAGTTTCAATCATTCTAATGTCAAAAAAGTTTCAATCATTCTTCCTCCCATATCCTCCCCCATTTGTATTTTGGGCCAAATCTTGCCCCCTTTATTCAGCCATTTTTGTCGGCAGGTCCTACAATATTTCTTGCCACACAGTCCATCTACTTCCAGTTTCATGCTTTATTATCATTTATGTGTGTCATTTCGTTGGTCCCAAGCCTTGTCCTGCAAGAACTGTTTGCACATTATAACATTGTATCACACTTATGTCCTCTTTTTTTTTGGCCAAATACTCTTCATGTAGTTTAAGCATTGATATTTTCTACTCATGATCCAATTGCTGAATTAGATCCTTGCTTCAGGCCTTTTCTCCACCCATGAAGTTTCTTGATATTGAGCTTCCACTTCCATCTAATGGCAAGAACAGTTCCCACAAGCTCTTCTTCTTAGCCCTTACCCTGATTCTCTTTACCTCAGTTCCTTTTCTCTGGAATTGGGGACTACCATTGCCATTTCCCAAGATCGACATCAGTAGCCTGATAATAAGCAGAGAACCAGCCAATAAATGTGATGTCTTTACTGGAAAATGGGTGCCTCACCCACAAGGTCCATATTACACCGCCGACACTTGCCATCTGATTATTGATGAGTATAATTGCATCAAGTTTGGGAGGGCCGATGCTGAGTTCATGAAATGGAGGTGGAAGCCGGACGGATGTGAGCTACCTTACTTTGATGCAGTGCAATTTTTGGAGCTTGTCAGGGGGAAATCCATGACCTTTGTTGGGGACTCTGTAGGAAGGAACCAAATGCATTCATTGCTTTGCCTGTTAGCCAAAGTAAATAACTCATCACAAACATCTTCTGATTCATCAAAAATGCAAAGAATGTGATATTGTAAGTGTAATTTTTCAGGTGGCCGCTCCAGAAGATATTTCTCATAAATATTCATCAGATACAAGACATTTCCAGCATTGGTTCTACGCAGATTACAACTTCAGCCTAACAACATTGTGGTCACCATACTTGGTTACATCCAAAGAAGCAGACCCAAATGGGTTTTCTGCCGACAGTCTCATGAACCTCTACTTAGATGAAGCTGATAAGGGATGGGCAGGAGAGATTGAAAGCTACAATTATGTGATTATTTCAGTGGGGCAATGGTTCTTCCGGCCAATGTACTACTATGAGAAGGGTCAGCTTGTTGGGTGTTTCAGGTGCCCTGAAAAAAACATCTCAAAGCTTGGCAAGTACTATGGATACAGAATGGCCTTCAGAACAGCCTTCAGGACCCTTCTGGACCTTAAAAGCTACAAAGGTGTTACATTTTTAAGGACATTTTCAGCTGCACACTTTGAGGGAGATTGGAATAAGGGAGGGGACTGTGTGAGGATCATGCCCTACACAAGGCAAGACAAGAAGCTGGAGGAGTTTAACAGGAAATTCTACTCAGCACAGGTGGAGGAGCTACAAGCAGCAGAGGAAGAAGCAAGGAGAAGGGGTTTGACATTTGGGCTGCTGAACACAACTGATCTAATGTGGCTGAGACCAGATGGTCATCCGAGCCATTTTGGGAAGTCACAGAGAAATGTGACAACCAACGATTGTGTTCACTGGTGCCTGCCTGGCCCCATTGATTCATGGAATGAATTCCTGCTGTATCTGATGAAGGGGTGAAATGGGTGAGAAGTCGATGAAAATTGTCTGAGTTGATTAAGGTTGCCATGTGGTATCTGTTTGGCCCCATAAGTTTATCATAGTATCAAGTCTCTAGCTACCATTCAGCTCTTCCTATCAACAGCAAACCTAGATCTTCTCAGGATAAGCATGGATAAACTTTCAATTTCATGTACGAAGCAAAGATAATTCTTCTAAAAATACAAGATATGTTTGTGGGTGTGTCTTTTTTCTCATAGAAAATGATAAATTGGGCTACTTTATCGTTGAGCTGCAATTTTTGAGGAGAAAAGAGAAACAAATTCATGTCTACAACCAAAATTCAAGCCATAGAACCCAAAAAACCCAGATAAGAAAAGTAATGATCACCAGTGGCAGAGTAAGGGTTGAGCCGGAGATTGAGGGAGGCAATGGAGGGGAGGAAGTGAGCGAGGGGATGAGGTAGAAGCTAGGAGATTTCAGCAGAGGCAACCTGAGGGGTATACATTGGATCAAACATGTAAGAAAGGGAAGGCCGCCTTCTGGTTCAGCTATTTAGCATAGTTAATAGTTTGGCTGTTCAGGGGTGAATAGGATTGGAATTTTCCCGTCATCC